CTAAAAGTATTAAATTTTTTCAAATAAAATAATTTTTCCTGCTGACAAATTTCTTGATAACTTGTGGTTCAGTGTCAATATGTAGGTGAAAAATGTTTTAGTAAAATGATTTTGGAGCCTCACCACACTATTACATCGAGTCATGCTCTATCTAACAACTGCATCTTGAAAACAGACCTGCAGTATATTCCCCACTGCACAAACCTCCATCATAACACTGTCATATGCAAAACACACACCGCTCCTCACTGCAGACTTTCCATAAGCCATCTGGTGTACAAGGATGATGGTTTCCTAGCAACCATTTCAACAGTATGTTCACATAGAAATCCATAGGTACTGTGAGCAGCAAACTGACCAGAATGCTATTGCATGGAATAGCATGAATACCCATTTCATTCTCCAGATACTTGAGGTATGTGACAGTTGAAAAGATGTGTTGTGGAAGAAACTTGTGTGTTTTTCCCATGGATGGAGATCTTTCATGGTTGTGTCACTTACAGCTGCCTGTAACACATAGATAGCTTTCATCATTTACGATTGTGTTCATGGATTCTCTCCTGTTACAAGATGCTGCACTTTGTTTACCATGGCTGGTCCTGATACCCCAAGATGATCCATACTTCTTTGTTTCTCCAATGCCATTAAGTAAAAGGGATATCCTCATTTTGTAAATTTTATATTACCACCCAGAACACATCTTTATGACTTAAGTGTATGAATATTTAATGTTAGAATAGGCCCTTCCATAAATTTTTCAAAATCAATCAATTTTCGGTGATATCACATTACCTACAAAATGGCAAGGTCAAATAGTAGTTCTGATACACGCAGTTTCACAGCAACTTTATATCAGCTGTGGTTGTTATGCGACTTGCTTATTTGCACATTGAAATTCATTTTAATATAACATATTCAACCCTCTGTATAATACAAATCACACAAACCATTTTTTCAAGTCTCCTGTTAACACACTAATTATTATGTTTCTCAAAACGGCAACAGAGCAGGATGATAGTCTATGATAATTTTTATTAATTTCAAAAATTTTATTTCAGTAGGCTGTATCAGCTAATACTGAGCTTAAACAGAAGTACTTCTAATATTTTATTTCCCCTAACTGTAACTTTATGGAAACAAAAAGCTTTTGTAAAAAAAAAACAGAAATATTCATTTCTCTTTTATCTGTTATAGAGATCATGTAACCATGTCTTAAAATAAAATTCAGTAAGTACTGAGATGATTCCTTTTCTTTATTTTATACATTTTCACAAAAATTGTGGAAGTTTGATTTTACAGTCTTATTTTGATACTTTAACAAATTATAAGCAAGTGTTATTGCAGCATGAATAAAAATATGAAGATACAAATATATGGTTAAAATCACTGTACAAAAAAGGAAATTTATGAAGCTCATTTGATACTTGTTTCCCTCTTAGCAATTTTAACCATATCTATGTTGTTGTAAACTTTTTTAATGTTTTTAATTTAGATGTTTGCTAGAGAAAGCTCATCATTTTGATGACAAAGATTTAAAAGTTCATGAAAGTGAAGATCAAAATGGTTAGTGTGATATGTAGAAATGGGTACAATATAATTACAAGTACTGAATGATTTGGGATTGAGTCAGTTCAGTGTCAGAAAAGTTATTCAGTTTAGTAGCAGTATATTTTAGATTAGTATTTTAATTAACTTCCTTATAAAAAAAATACATTCAAAATGATTTGACGACACCAGTGAACCAATGTAACAGTTCAACAGTCTATGGTATTTTTTTATCTTCAGAAGAATGATAAAAAATAGTGATGTAATAGAAGTTTTTACGCTAGTTATATCTACATAAAATATTTTAGGCACTTTTGGTGAAATTGTTTGATAATGTTAATAGAACAATAGGTTACATTAAGAATAGTTTAATGAACTTGGTGTAATTGCTTGTTTGATATCATCAATCTATATGTAAATATACTGAAACATATACATAGCCTTAGCAACATATAGCTTATCAATGCAAAAGAATCAAGGTTTAATGAGCCAGTTAAAATATATAATTGTTAGTTATTTACTGTGATCAGATAATGATGTAAATATTCATTATACTCATAAATCTTAGAAAATTATCATTGTGAATAGAGAAAACAAAAAGTATCCTTTAGTTACACACATTCTATTGACACTTGTGCAACGAGCAACACTAGCTAGGAATATTTAATGGATGTCATGCCTGCTAATTCTCAAAATTTACACTGGACCATCAAATTGATTGGTTTGTAACTCAAAAAGAATATTTTATGAAATGTCTTATTTTAGACATTTTTTTACCTTTATTTTAAAAATTAGAAATATTATAAAAGGGAAATTGTAACAAAATGAAAATTATTTCAAGAAATTTTTATCAGTTCTGATATCTTATGATCCATCTTTTAAATATAATTTTTATATCACAATTTTATAATGGTTGTATAGCTTATTAGTTTATTATTTATATAGATTGTTTAACACAAATCAATGATTTCCAAGGGTAAGTACTAAAGATAGATGGCACTACAAGTGCACATGTATGCAACATTTTTCAGTTGTTTCAGAGGTTATCTTCTAAAAATCCTGAACAGTCCATCTGATAAGAGTAAGAAATAAAGTTGTCAGAGACAACCTTTAAACACAGAGAATATGTGTATTCCATGAGATTATTATAAAGGAAATATTTTACTACATTACATGGGAAAATAAATAACTGTAGGATTTGCAAGTTGTACAAAATAAAAGTATGATGGAGATAACTAACAACATGAGAAATGTCCATTTTGTGATAAAATGTCATATTTTTACATGTATTAAAATCCTATGCTCACCTCAATACATATAAGTCACACCAAAATATATTTAATCATTTAAAGAGGCAAAGTGTGAAGAGCTACTTCCATATTTGAATTTTGTACAGAAAGCTTTTTTATATACAAAAAAAAGCATGAACTACAAGTTATATGTTCATACACAAAGCTGTTTAAAATACTATCTGTACAGTGACCACACCACTGGGACTGAACTCTGAATTTCAGTATTATAAGCCTTCAAACTTACTGCTGAGACACTGAGGAGGTGACAAATTATATAAAAATACCAAATACATAAACAAGAACCTCAAGAAACTGAGACTAAACAGAAAGGAAGTGTGATTCTTTGAAAGCCCTGAGCTTAGCTAGAAAACCCACTGGCCACTATCACCAAGTCATCTATCTATCAACAGATATGTGTCTGCACAGTTTTATCAATATGTTCTTTAGGCCTTATCAGCAATTACCGTATAGGAAAAACAATGTCAGGTGTAATTCAAGAACTTATGAGTGAAAGTAATTAAAAAATGTGCAACTATACAACTGTGAAACAACATACTATAAATAAAAATGAACACTGAATATAAGGGTCACCTTCTGTCTTTTCTGTCACTGTATGAAATAAGTATAACTGAAAATTCAGGTTACTTGAATTATGAAGTCCACTCTCTGAAATTTGTGTTTAAAATTCTGTAGAATTATTACTATACTTGCCTACCAAAATATATTACTGGTGAATAATAACCAGCAAGCCTGTAAAAATTTCTTGTAGAAAAAAAAACTTCTCTACAGAATAATAAAAATTGTTTTTATCTTCTGCCTACATATAGATCCCATTGGATGGGTAAAAAACGTTTAATCACTGTGAAGCCCTCTATAACCCAGCCAAAAGTTAACAGTTTCAAGCAAAATATACTTTAAGCTTAATTAAGTGACATTTGAATTTTGTATTTAACAAACTTAATCCAAGAAACATTAAGAGCATTTTTGTTGACAGTTCAATTTATAACTGACCGTTTAAAAGTAGTGTGTAGTAAAGTTTCAAGAAATGTTATGTTGATTTCACTTTTATTTTATTACACTTTAAATTAATTAATGTAAAACATTTATTGGACCAACCATGTTTAAGTTCTAGAGTTTAATGTCAATATTATGCCCAACCTACATTTCGTACACTGGACATGTTGACCAATTTGATTGTAAAAATAGGAGAAAGGTAACAGAATGTCATTCTATCCATCAAGGTCACCATCAAAAAATATCAATGCCAAATCAATCCTAAAATTGCTCATTTATAAACCAAACTTTTGTTAATCCTATCTGTTATTATACACAAACAAAAGTATTTTTATTATTCTAAACGTTTACTGCTTGATAAAGCCTTAAGGCAAAAATAAATAAAATAAGGTCATTAAAATATTTTTATACTTGACAAGTCATTTACCAATTTTAATACAGAAAAAATTTAAGAAAAATACACATGAAATATTAAGTAATAATGATGAATATTACAGCAAGATCTTTTGGATGATATGAGGGTCTTAAAAAATTTCTTAAAAATAAATGTTCAAATATTCCCTTAAAGAGCCTCTCATAAATAACAATCAATGAAATGGCTCCACAAGCACCGTTACATACTGATTTTACAAAGTATATAATTCCTGTTTTATTTTACTTAACAATAAAATGACCTTTGCTTATTTTGTGGACTATATCAAAAACAAATAACTATATTTTTTCCAAAAAGTTTCATAATGTCCATGACCTTTTCTCTTTTTACAAATTTTTTGACAATGTTATTGAATAGTGTATTGTTCTCTACCATATAATAAGACTTACTATTAACTAAAAATGTCAGTAAAAGATACTGATGTACTTATATTGGGGTTTATACACGCCTTTGTTTTTGTCCTTTACAAAAGAATAATGGCCTGTCATTTAAAGAAAAATTACATAAAAATGTGATATTCCAGAATTTTTTCACATACAAACTTAGCATTTGACAAACTATTATTAGAAATTTCAAAGACTTTTATACATATATATAATAACTAGTATATTTATGCATATCACTATTACTTGTAAATATTTTATTTCTAAACCAATTACTCATTTTTTCTTAGTAAAAACAACTGCAAAAAACAAAATATATTCTGCTAAACTTACCTCATTATAACCTGCAGTAAGTAGTTCCAGATAGAGTCGTTGAACATTAGGGTGTCTGTCTAATCCATTAGAACCAGAGCTTACCCCACTGCTGCTTCCACTCCCAGTGACCTGACTTGGACAGCTATAATCACTCCCTGTGCTACTAGCACTACTTAATTCACTTCTACCATTGCTGGGCCGATCACTATTTGCAAAAGGCAACAAGCTATTTCGAATCTGTGCAAGTGCTTTTTGTCTGTAGTCATCACTGGTGGACTTAACAGCACCCCCTCCACCGGCAGAATGCTGTTGGACGGCATTCATTGTGTTATATTCTGCCTTAATCTGCATGGGCTCCAACTTTGGTGGGGTCGAAAGTGGGCCAAGAGATGGCGAAACAACTGATGAACCACTAGTGACAACTACAGAAACAGCTTCTCTGCGCAGGTGACCCAGACTATCTTTGATGTCCCGTAGCATCTGCCACTGGCTCCCTACAGCAGCACTGACTGGAGAGTTCGGGAGAAGGTTTTTTGAGCGTGTCTGACTCTCCCCTTCTCTCCGAATCATAAGTTGTGTATTTTTAGCAGCAATGGTTCCTAGTTGTGTAGAAGCAAACACTTTCAGTCCTGCCTGTGTCAAGGGTAACCTTCGTGATTCTTGGCAGCTTCAACGATGGCATGGCTCATAGAAGCCACAAAGACAGTAACAGCTTTTGAAACCACTGCTCCAATTCCTCCCCAAGGCCATTAAACTACACCACTACCAGAAATAACTACACTAAGCTGGTATTTTCAGCCTAACAAACTTAAAGCAGGTCTCCTGTGACACACAAAAGCACAATATCCAAACACTGATATGCACTTCCTGATACAATGAAGTATGATCAACAACCTTGAGAGTCTGACAAATCAACCTTCATCACTGGCCATCAGATAATGCACCTCCATTACAGACAGCAACAGAACTCACTCATGCTGCATATCTACACCTTAAAAAAGAAAAAAAAAGAAAATGCTTTAAATGTTTACATTGTACTGAAACTTATCTGAAACATTCCACATACTATGCCAAATATATTCAACATTCCAAAAAAACTTTTACTCTCTTCTCATTACAAAGCCTTACTATTTGTGAGGCCTCATTGTATTTATAAACATCTATATACCAAATTAAAAAAAAACCTTTCATTTACATGTATCTTCCCAAGACATGCACATATAACAAAATTCAAATCCAGTAAGCACTGCGTTGATATTTACAATATATATATATATATATATATGTGTGTGTGTGTATGTGTGTGTGTGTGTGTGTGTGTGTGTGTGTGCGTTAAAAGTCATGAAACTGTGACAAAAAATTAAATGAAGCATAAATTATAAAAAAAAAATTAGTATAACAGTAGCTGTTTCTTTTGGTGTAGTTTCACCATATAAATTCATGATGTTGGCATAACTAGAACTCATAAAGGAAGTTTAAAGAAAATAGGGTAATCATTAAATATTTTAGCATTTCATAAGTACTATATGAAAAAAAAATTGCATGTTCTATTTCCTGTGAAAACAAATTAAATGTAACTTGACACCTAAAATAACTATAAGAAACCTATATTGTACATTTACCCAACCAAAAGTCAAAGCAATAATTTCATGGAAAATACTTCTAGTCAGTTAACTGATAAAATGACATCACTCATGATCATGGGTGATACTGAAAGTCATAATTAACATGTATACATTTTATTTAGCAATGCCCAATGATATAGCTTCTTTCCCAAAGAGTTTCTTCCACCTTTGATTTAAAACTTTGAATTATATTAAATATACTATTATGCTAATAAAATTATAATGATTAAAAAACACTCAGCTTAATAACACAGATAGCAGTGCCATGAATTTCTTAATCTTATTTTATAAATTTTGTTTCATTCAAAAAAAACTAATTACCTTTTAACTTTTGGACTTAAACTTTAGTTCTAATGTACTTATAAGTATCAGTATATCATTATACTGATATTTTCAAACAGAATTTGTTCTTAGATTAGGGTAAATTTAGTACCACACAGGATAATTAACAAGTGAAAGTTCAATCTTTCTCTCAATTTTATGAGAAAAAAAAAGATGCTGTCAACAAACTGTCTTCTCAATATATACAAAACTACTGTATATGTAGTAAAATCAAACTTTAAAATAAAGTTTCTTAAAATCTGTCAAATCAACTCCATATGAAATTATGTTTATATTATAATACTATAAAGACATGTCAAAAACCTATAAATGTGTAACATCTGGCACTCTGAACATTTAATAAAAACAAATTTTTGAGACACAAATTAAGTTTAAAGAACTCTTAAGATAAATACTCTTAAATGGACTAGAAACAGGTTGTAAATCTAGTTATTTTCTAAAAAAGATTCAAAGAAATGAAAATTTTCAAACCTAATGTACCTTAAACATTTCACCCTTTTATATAAGCTGAGAAATGGAAAATAAAATGTCTTGCATATACGAATTATAATATGACATATTTTCTACATTAAGGCCCATAATTAAACCTTTAGATTTTAAAAAAAATTATAAGAAGGAAGTAAAAAAAACAAGAAAAATGTTTAAAGCTTTTGTGAAAATATGAAGACAGTTTGTAATAACTTACTACCCGATGCTTCATCTTACAACTAAAGTTTGAGAAAAAAGAAAACACAGTACAAATATAACATTTTATTGTATTATTTAAAACCTTAAACTTCATTAAATGATGAAACTTATTTTGAAAATAAATCATAAGTATAATATATCCTATGTAGGTAGATTTCTACCCACCTGGTTTCTAAGGATGTGCCAATATATATCATTATTTGTACCAGTCATATTGGCCATTTTGCCAACATATTAGTATCAGCTGATATTAATAAAATATCAAACGATGAGCAAATAACTCTTCATTCTATTTCACCACAAGAAATACCACTGACTGTTCACAACTATACTACTAAACACACAAGCTAGGCTGGTAGAGATCCTGATGAGTAATACTCAAATGTCACTAACATAGCCATACAACTGACTCTGTTGCATACACACATATATATATATATATATATATATATATATATATATATATACTACTACTACACACCACTACTATCTTAGTATATTATAGAG